ACTCTTCATCATCATGCTACATCGAACACAGTAGCACCACAACATCAACACACAGCTACAGCAGCAACAACAACAGTTGCTACCACAATGCCGCCACATGCTCAAACACAACACCATCATCATGCGCATACGCATTCGCATTCGCATCCGCATTCGCATCCGCATCCGCATTCACATTCGCATCATCCGACACATCCTGCGCATTCACATCCGCACTTACACCATCACCATCATCATCATCCTCCACATCCGCACGACGAGGTATGGAGTCCTGCGACACAGTATTCCTATTCGCAGTATTTTACTTATCACCATCACCATCATCACGCTTCAACTACTTCTTCTACTTCTTCACTACCGCACGCTAGTAGCACTCAGTGAGTGTCGCAACGACTTGCAATGCAAAACAGTTAAATATCGAAGCTTAAGAAGAGTGGCTCACGTAGCCAGTTCTCACATCCTCACGTACTCACGCCCTCACATCCTCATGTGAGGTTCTCACAATCACACAAATCTGCCTGTAGATTGTAGATTGATTTGTTGCTTTTTAATTGTGCACCTTTTATTTTGCTCAGGAAAATCAGAAAAGGTATATAGTATAATGTAAAACAACAGCTAAGTTATCGGGATCAATCAATATTATCTATATCTATAACAATATTGGGTTTACCAAATGAGGCAGCAAAATGCATATTATGCAGTATCATTATTTTCATCACACGAGTATAAATTGCCTGTGAAATCAAACCAGTGGTACAATAAGGAAATTCCATGATACCCAACTTCTAAGCTTATTCCAAATTAATATCGGAATTAGGAAGCTTAAGTAATAAGGTCTTTAAATCTCTTAATCTTTAACTTAGGAACTAGAAAATAGGTATCTGCTTTTAAACTCAGTTCGTAAATTCAGTTCATAGTTCCTTCAATATGTAGAACGAAAATATATATATTTGTTTTCTGTAATGAACTGTTTAGTGGGATGATCTCCAAGTTCACAGTTAACATTACTGAAGGTATATATATAATGAAAACTGATTCCAAAATTTTAGATATCATCAAAATTTCCATACGGTAACGTCTATTTTTCAGATACACTAAAGATTTAGTAGTTGTGCAAAAACCGTAGATATATAATAGTCTTTGTATAATAAATTAAAGTCGGAAATACACATATTTGGTAAAATTAATTAAAATGTTTATTCATCTCCTCTCTCTTTTTATATCTGATTCTATCTTATTTAGATTTGATTTGCGATCTCAGAAATTTGAAGTATTTTTATGTGATCTATTATTTTAATCGAACTTGCCTAGTACCTATAAATCCTAAAATTTAAAGGTGCTCTATAAATTTAGCTGCTTTAACTGTGTTCTCTTAAGCTCGATAAAACTGCAAGAAAATTTAGTATGCACTTTACACTTAAATAGTTATAAAAACAGTTAATCTTAATATTGTTGTTGTTGTAATCTAGCTTTAAATGTAAACCAAACTAAACTAAATCTAACTTGTAGTTGCTAAAATCTTTAAACTAACAATAAATTTCTTTTACTCCTTTCCAAAAAAAAAAAAATATCAAAAAATGTTTAGATATTACTCAGCCAACAACAGCAACATCAGCAACAACAACAACAATTACATCTTAGCTACAACAATCAATTGCAACCCTTAACAGGCTGTACCTCGACAACTTCATCCAGTTCATCCCCATCATGTACCTCACCTACCGCCAGTCAGTTGCCAACAACAATCATAGGAAATATGCTTAATGGCACTAATAGCAATGACATCAACAGCAGTATAACTCCATATCAACATCAATTAGCGATTATAGCATCACCAATTGTCATTGCATCGGCTGATGGACAAACCACCATTCCACTCACCACCACTCTGCAGCCGATTAATGCCAACATCGACCGCACCAATCGCAACAACAGCCATCGAAGCAGTCACGTTCTGCACGCCAATAACGCGCACAATCATCATTTGCTGCACACAGCGGCTGTATATGCGCTCGGTAGTGAGCAGCAGGCCGATGGAAGTCCTTTGTTATCCTTCTCTGAGGTCACAAATACATTGCTGAATCAATAAACAAATCATTGCATGCATTCATAAAGTCATAAAGTCATGAAGTCATGGAGTCATTTAAGCTTTTTGCAAACCATATTCTCGGCAATCATAGACGATGAAAAGTATGGAAATCATCCTATATTCTTTTAGACAATGTAAACTAATTCTGTTAGATCTGCATGTATGTTTTAAGTTGAAAAGTATTTTAAACCTAGAAGATAATGTCCTTATTTATTGACCATTAATTGCAAATTCGTGAAACTTCGCTTGAAATGCTGAAAACCTATAGAGCTGGTGTTATTCTCATGAAAATATTTAAAAAATCTCTTCAGCGTTTATGAGGTCCTTTTGAGACAGAATATTAAATTTGATTTCAATGTCACTTATGACGACAGTGACTATTTTACTTAATAGAAAGTGTTGTGTTTAACAGTGAGGTTTCGACCAGTAGTGAATTGCAACAACAAAATTTTTATTTATTTTTAATCAATTGAATTTTTGACTGACTATACAGCTGTTTCGAAAATTGCCTTGTTAGGCAAGGCATCAGTAATTTTCTAGTAATTACTAGTTGAGGTTACACCAAGTAATATAATATAATAATATATGTGGTAAAATCCACGGTTCGACCTTCGAAAACTATTATGTTAGAGGGATATGGGCACGGTGGAGAAGTCTTATCTAGTGATATAAATGAGTGAATGATTGTACAGGTATTGTAGAAAAGTAGAAATTCGGAAACTATCAATGTTTGCATCCATACAACTTACATGTGTATATAACAGTTTCTATCTTATATAAAGTAAAAATCACACTTGTAGTATTTGATTATTTAAAATTTTTTCTATAAAATTTGAGCCACTTCCGAGAGCGACAAAAGTTTAATATTTTGTATATATTTGAAGAGTAAACAATTTCGATAAGGACTCGGAACTAAGAGACTCGGAGCTTAGAAACGAATCAGGGACTACATTTGAAGATAGTGACCAATGAAGTCTGACTGAATATCTATTTTATTCAATAGGTCAGGTTATTAGGTTTCAAGTACTAAAACATTTAAACATTATCACTTTAAATACAATACGTATCTTGACTCCTAAATTATTTTTATTTTCGGGTAACATTTTACCCTAAGTAAATACAAATATTGCTTTGCAATTACTTGAATGCTCCACACATGATTACCAAGGACTATTATTTTTAAATTAATTAGTTTCGCAATTGCTTGCTATATGTTCGTTTGTATAAAAAATATACTAAGGTCACAATTATTTCTCTGTATTGTATCATCAGTTAAATAAATCTCCTCTTTCATTATTAATACGTCTAAACGTATTAAAAGAGCAAAATTATTGAAAAATACTACATCATCATTTGTAATGCATAATCCCGGTCACGTTTGCTTACCCTTCGAAAACTTAATTATATTAACAAAAAGCGTAGTGGAAAAAGTTACTTACATTAGTTGTCTTTACCAAATGGGTGTGCCCAAGAAATTGAAATCATGCCACATAATTTATAACTTAAAGACCTTTTCAACTTTATACCCAATCAACGAGGATAGATGACCTTCAGTATGCATGGAAAATATATGTATCGATCATCTATGTATTTCATCTCAGAAAATAATAAACTTAGAATACTAAAACATTTGTAGATTTAGAACTCTAAAATAATGATTAATTAAATATTTTTTTTTTTGTTTTTGGTTCATTTTCTTGTTGTTGTTGTAATTAGCTTTGGGGTCCTATAAATCATTAAACTAACTAATTTTGCGAAAACATCAAAAATGGGTATAAGATGAGATGATTAAAATAATTGATAGGAAAATGTATGAAATATTGATTAGCAAAATAAATCCTACAGAATCACACTAGAGTCGTAATAGGTGTTTACAGTTAAGAAGTTCTCGGAGCAAACGAAAATTGTTTTTTTTTTCAGAAACAAACTTGGTGTTTTTTCTTTTTTCATCACATAAGTTTCGAAAACAATAATGTTGTTCTCTTAAATTAGATCTGTTTATGGCACTATTTTATGTCTCCTCTCCTTGTTTTCGTTTTTGTTTTTGAGAGAACCTAAATAAAATAGATTATCTTGATCTTAAATATCTTATACCTTAAATACTTAACCAAGTGACCCTAGAACCCATATAATTAATTTGCACGAGGGAGACATTGTCTTCATTTCTAAAGTTAAACTGTTAAATTTAAATATGTATTTATATTTGGTTACTCGGAAACAAAACTCTGCTTTAAATAATATGAGATTTTATAATTATTTATTGTTTAATTGCAATAATAATTAAAACTGAAAATATTTTATATATATATATTATATATTATATATATATATATATATATATATATATAATAATATAGAAATGATCTCTACTATTCAAAAATTTGGCTGCAGACTAAAAGTATTACAAACCATAATCGCATTAAATAAATTTAACTCTATGCATTATATATATATATATATACTTATATATATATACGAGTATATATAGCACATGACAAATGAAAAATATTTTGCCAAAATACGGACTATCGAATCTTCCATTACTTCATTGCACATACATTGTATATACATACATGTATATACACACATATACATACATACATACATACATACATACATACATACATACATACATACATACATACATACATACACACATACCACATAAACGCATACACATAAATAGCCAAAATAGGCAATTAATCTATAAAAAAATATGATGAAAATGTGAGAAAGAAAATAGACTTTTCAAAAAACAAAAAAAAAATCCAATTAATATATTTTAAAAAATATATTAAATATGACCTCATAGAAAAAATTATTTGAAGTGTTTCAAAACTAAACTATCAATATCTACTACAAGTATTAGATAAACATTGTATATAATATGGTATAACTAGAATCACTTTATGATTTAAGTTTAATTAGTGTAAACAACAAATTTTCCTATGTATTAACTATATATACATTATTCTATATACATATACAATATATACCCGTATCTTATTCATGTTATACGTATATTATTTATTTATTATTTTTCTGTGATAAAATTAAGAACTTATTTATAAAACTAACCCATAAACACACAAAAGCAATATAACATATATTTGTATATATGTTTATATATATATAAATATGTATATACATTATATAGTATAATTTATTAAGCAATTTAAACTTTAGTCCAAAATAATTTTATGCCGACAATGCGCCTAAACATTAACTTCCAAAATAGTTGAAATGTTTGCAAAATTAATAAATGCAAGATTTTTTCCAAGATTTTTATTAATAAAATAATGAAATTAATTAATTAAAATTAATTAAAGAAAAGACGTGACGAAGCACAAATTATATATTAATTATAATGAATTCCTAAATATAACAAGAAGTTGTAGTTTCAACCAAAGAAATTTTATTATATGATTTTACATGTGTATCATATATCATATATATATTAAATTAAATTAAATTAAATTAACTTAAATTAACTTAAGGCAGAAAGAATCCAGTTGCAATTGTTAAAGGTTGTTATATATTAACAAAGCAATTAACCTTAAAATATTACAATAATTATAAAAACTAATTACACAATACACAAACTTAAAATGAAAATCAATTTAATTAACAATTATAATATAAAATATGTCAAAAAAATATATTTTTTAATTAAGAACTTTTGCTTATTTAAATTTTCATGTTTCCTACTTAAATAATTTTAATCAACTTTTATATATATATTTATAAAACAAATATATATATATAAGAAACACAAATTATTTAAGCTAAATTGTATTTTAAATTTTTAATTTTCTAGTCGAACATAATAAAATAGAAATACCATAAATAAAATAAATTTTAGAATAAATTTTATGTAAAATTAAACAAGGCTAAAAATGATATATAAAAGTATATATAAAAAATAATTTAAATCATGTAAATATATTTAAAATTATTATGAAAAATGCCGTGAATAAACGCAATAATTAAATTTTTGAACTCTTCGCAAAAAACTTTCAAACTTAACTATAAAAATATGGTACTTTAAAATATATAAATATATTTATATATATACTAAATTGCGTTTATAATATATCCAACATCGAATTGTAAAACAATAAAAATTTGAATACATCTCTTGTACATCTAATATACAATTAATAATAAAATATTCAAAATCCAACAAAATTGTGTAAGTCTATAATTATATTTCTTTGACTAATAATTTATAACAATATATTAAATAAAAAAATTTAGCATATACTGTAAATTTCTTTAAAAACAAATTCATCATTCAAAAATAAATAAAATAATTTTGAAAATATTACTTTTATCGTCTATTTTACCATATTACTTTCATTGTATATATAGGAGTACGAAACTCGATCTCTGCTATACAATATTGGAACTCAGTACTTTCGATTAGCAGACCGATTAGCAGCGATCGGTCTATATGTGGGAATAGTTCGTTTGGGGTGCGTTTTGACACACTATTAATTGTTTAATTAGCAGAAGATTACCAGAATATTATAGTATTTTCTAAGCTTAAGTAGAGCCACTCATAAACCAGCTAATAATACATTATAATACGACATTGTCTATATAATCACAGAATATTTAATATTATTTAATTCAAATTGAACAGCCTTGTTCAGCCTTGTCCTATACTAATTCACAATATCCAGAAATATACGGATGTCATCTTTAATTTGAGGTTTTTTGTATTCTCTATGGCATCGAATTTGAACTTCAACTTGGAAATACCGTTTTCATTTATAATATATCCATGGCACTCAATACAATCTTATCTAAAGTCCGAAGACCGATTTCTCTAAGTTGATCCGAACATTAATTTTTTTCATCTGCGGACGAGAACTTTATCTCATCTAAAACCCTTTTTACAATTTATCAACAAGCGAAAAAACAAAAAGTTTGTTTATTTTTTTTTGCGGCAAGGAGGAGTGGAATGCTCCACACACTGACCACAATCCGGCGCCACG